AACAACTGTGGTAAGAAAGGGGCAAAACTCACTTAACAAATGTGTCTCTTTAACAACAGAAATTTTGGCCTCAGTTGTGTTCATAAGTCAAGGATTGTCTGTATTCTGCTGAATTGGTAAAATTCTGCATTCTGTTTCCTCAAATGGTAAACCAAATGTTGTAGGAAGCCCAAAGCAAAATTTAAGAAAGCAGCTGTATTTTTCCATGGTGGTTTGTTACCAAAATTAATTCAGAGACCTAAGGCCTGCAGGTGGTCTTAGAAACAATAGTGTCATTACAGCAAGAAATTACACCAACCTCATCTTCTGCAAACGGAATCAATTTTTAAAGTCATCTAAGCCTGTTGTCAAACTGTACAATGAATGCAAAGAAATCCTTTAGTTTTTCTCAAACTTGGCAACTGGTGTGCACTTCAACTCCCAGAATTCCCCAACCAGCATGGAAGTTGGTCTGCACACCTTAAACCTGTCAAGTTGAAAGACACTGGTGTAAATCCTAAATTTCTCACTATGTGGCTTCAGTGGACAGTCCTAAGTTCTAGTCCAATAAGAAAGGTTGGGTTTTACTCTGTCCATGTCCTCGATATCTTGTATAACTTTGTGTACTTCATTGTGGTTAGTAACCAGTCATGAGACCCAAAGACATAGGTAAAACAACATAAAAAGATCATTTTTTCATTGTTATAAGTTCTTAAAATTAAGACATCTTCCTGTGAAAATTAATGGCAGGTAGATAATGTTATATATGTATATAATACATTTCAGCTTACTCATTCTTCTACCCTAAACTAAAAATGTCCCAATTATGGTATGTTTTCTCCAAAAAATGTTGCTTCAGCCCCCTGATTAGCCATTTCTGCATTTTTTTTTCATCCTACAATATTTTTTTGTATAAAACCATTTAGGACAGCTGGCAAGTTTTCTCTCTCTTCTCTTTCTAATTTCACTGTAAGCTTAGGTCTACCCTAACAAAAAAAAAAAACACGGTGGAAAGTTGCTTCAACAACAGAGTAAATAAACATAGGAAGGACACACATTCAGCTCCTGGCCAGAAGACCATATAAATTATTCAATTAAATCCTTACTTACACTAAATGCCCTGTAAGGACTATTTGCAAATTAATTGCAAACCTGAAATAAGCTCTGTTAGTAACCAACACCAATATTAGCATCTATGCTTTTTTTTTTTATGTTGGTTGAGCTTCCAAAACTGGAAGTATTTTTATTCCTGCAACCAAAGACATGTGTCTACTTTAAGAAGTGGGAAGAATAATTTTCAATGATTCCTCTGCAACCTCTTTGCTGCCTCCCATAAGAAAGTTCACAAGGCAATAAAAAAATGAATCTCCTACATTTATTTATTTAACAGAATAACAGAATCATTTATGTGTTTATTATTTATATCCTGCCTTTATTTTATTTTTTTACAAATAACTCAAGTTGGGAACACAATACACCTTCCTCATCCTCTTTTTCCAACAACAACAACAACCTTCTGAGATGACTTGGGCAGAGAGAGCATAACTGGCCTGAAGTCATCCAGCTGGTGTTCATGGCAGTGGTGGAATTCAAATTGTTTTACTACTGGTTCTGTGGGCGTGGCATGGTGTGGGCATAGCTTAGCTTGGTGGGTGTGGCAGGGGAAAAATACTGTAAAATTCCCACCCCACTCCTGGGGTAAGGTTACTGTAAAATTCCCATTCCCTCCCCACCCCACTAACCTGCTTTCCATCTCCATTCTCCTGTGCAGGGCAACAAAAGAAGACCCAGCTGATCAGCTGGGACTTGGGAGGCAGAGAATAGATGGGGACGGGGCCAGTCAGAGGTGGTATTTGCCGGTTCTCCGAACTACTCAAAATGTTCGCTATCAGTTCTCCAGAACTGGTCAGAACCTGCTGAATACCACTTCTGGTTCATGGCTAAGGCAGGACTTGTACCCAGTCTCCCACTTTCTAGCCAGGCACCTTAATTATTAGACTAAACCTTTCCTGATAACAGGAATAGCAAGTAAGCGGAGTTCTTTTTCATAAGCACTTTAGATGCAAAACAATTATTGTATAGTCAAAGCTCCTCATCTACCTTAATTTTAAAAATCAAAATGCTTTGTCGGTAAAAACAAGTAGTTCAAAATTTATGACCACAATCAGGACTGAAAATTCCATTGCTAAGTGATATGGTCATTAAATGAGTCACACCATATTTTATTTCCCATGACCATTAAGCAAATCACCAAGGTCATTAGGCAAATTACACTGTTGTTAAGTGAATCTGGCATCCCCCTATTGACTTTGAATGTGGTAAGCATGCCCAGAAGATTGAAAATGGCAATTACGTGACTCCAGGATGCTACAGCTATCATAATGCTTGCTGGTAGCCAACATCCACATTTTAATTATGTGACCAAGGGGACACTTTGATGGTCATAAGGTGTAAGGGCCAGTCATAAGTAACTTTTTCAGCACTGTTGTTACTTAGAACAGTTGTTAAACAAATGGTTAAGAGATTACCTGTACTTTTATTTTATCAAAAGGAAAAAAAAATCAATATTATCCCTAAAACTTTTCAAGCCTTTGGTTTCTTCTCAATGTAACATGAATGTTTGCCAGTTTGCCATATTTAGAATTTACAACTGTATCCTTTTCTTTTCAAATGAGTTCAGAGCTTTGTCTTACAAGTAAACTGGTTTATCTGCTCACAGATGAAGAAAATGTCAGATTCAGCCTGAGGTTAATTCTGACCTTTTTCTCATGCTAACTATTCCTCAGTTCTGCAGCAAAGCCCGTCAAAATAAATAAGAACTACCGGCAAGTCCTATGCTTCTCATAACAGATTAAAATAAAAATGTGTTTATTAGTTACCGTTTACAGATTCTGTCAGTTGGGAAACTGAGAGGGACAGGTAGAGATCAGCCCCTATTAACAAACCTAACACACGTGGAAAAGCAGGGAAGAAAATGAACAGTTTTGGCTTTGTGTACCCAGGTGGAGCTTGAAATGGTACACAGAATGTTGTTGTCAGGTCTGATTCAGTGAGCTGTTATGCTGATCACAGTCCCCGATGGAAGATTGCCAGTCCAAGGAGCAAAAACAGACTTATTTGCACTGGCAGCCCACTAAATTATCTGTTCTTTTTTTTTTTCTCTGAGAGATCAGTATTGGGTGAAGGGACTCAGAGGGGAAAAAAAACAGAGGAGAGGGAATAGGCCTGTTGGCTCGCTCTTGGTATTGATTAACCTGTCAGTTTGGGCACTTCCATTTTTATTGTCAGTGCTATCAGCATCCCAAAGCACCACATTGTTGTGGTGCAGCCAGGCGAGCGTCTGCTGAGGCTGTTTGCTTGAACCAGCTGACATTCTTTCTAGGTGAGTGGTAGGAGACACCAAAAATAGGAAGGCAGTGATGCTTTGTTCTCTACCCCTGCTCTTCACGGTCCTGCAATTTTCTTTTCATAACAGCGGAGAAAATAAAGCAAACCAGTGACACATAGGTAGTCTTCAACTTACCACAACAACTGAGCCTAAAAATTATGTTGTTAGGTGAGAAATTGGTCAAGGGAGCTTGCTCCATTTTACAACTTTTCTTTGCCACATTTGCTCAGTGAATCATTGCAGTGGTTAAGTTAGTAACACATTCGTTAAGTGAATCTGGTTTCCCTATTGACTTTGCTCATCAGAAGGTCGCAAAAAAAAAAGTCACATGACTCCGGGACACTGCACCCGTCATCAATGTGAGTCCACTGCACCCATCATCAATGTGAGTCCACTGCACCCATCATAAATGTGAGTCCACTGCACCTGTCATCAATGTGAGTCTGTTGTCAAGCATCCAAATGCAAATCACATGTCTGTGAGGATGCCGCAAATGTTATGAGAGTGAAAAATGGTCATATGTCAGTTTTTTTCAGTGCTGTTGTAACTTTGAACAGTCACTAAATGAACTATTGTAACTACTGTTCACAGATCCTCCTCAGGTGGAAGAACAAGCAATGAAGGAAGACAAGACACCAAGATATTATGATTTTCCTTGGAGGGGGAAGTCCAGAGATAAGATTCATTTTCACCAGTGGATGTTTGTCTGATTTACATAACTGCCCATTTCATATTTGTGACTCTGGATGGCCTCCAATTAAAATATAACACCCAAAAATAAAAGCAAAATAATCATACAAACATTAAAAAAAACAATAAAGCATTTAAAAAAACAACCACACACACAATACAGTCATCAGGAAAGCATAGTCAATTCAGAAACAGTACATCCACTTTATGGATTCCATACCACTATCTTATCTTAGGCCAATTGCTACCCAGCAGCTCAAGAGACAAACTCTTGTTTGATAGGCAGCTGAGCTACTAAAGCCCCATAGCATTGTGGGAATTCACAAGATTAGATTGGTCTCTGTTCAGTACAACTCTATCTAGAAGGAGCCTTGAACTGACTGGATTTTCTGTTGCAGCATAAGCTTGTAACTATTGGGCTTTCAGCTATTTGATGCGACTCAATCCAGTTATGAGATCTGATACATTGAACACGAAGAACCTTGAAGTATGACGAGTATTTTAAAAGCAAACACATACCCTTGTACTTAGACTATTATGCAGAGGCATAATGTAGTAATATGTGTCATGGTTGAGAACTTTGTGTGCTACTAGATGTTGTGACTGTAATGACATTGGCTAGCACATCCAAATGGAGCACTTTCTTTCACATGTGGAGGCTTGTCAAAAAGAAGATTGTACAGTATATGTTTGTGTGTGTGTGTGTGTATCACCAAATGGCAACTAGTCTGACAATACCACAGAGTCCTTCATAGATTTTTTTTTTAATTGAGGCTGGGAAAGCATATAATTAGGTGATGCATAAGGTGAGGATTTGTGTAGGTAAAGAACTTCACAGGTAACCAAGTAAGGGTAAGCATTTGACTATGGGCAACCAGGTGTCTGATACTGTAACAACTCAAGGCACTATTTTCTGCCTCCAGAGAACAAGGTAATTGCCAACCATAGTAATTGACTGCAATTAACCCAGAAGCCAATAAATGTGACTTGCACATTTCAGTGTGTAAAAATCACCTGTAATGAACACGGGTTTTTTTTTTTCTCAGGGAAAACAAAACTGAATTTATACAGTGTGGAATTCTAGGTGTCTGATGCATGAATTCACGCAAACATCATTTGCCACCTTCCCAGATGGCTTCCCACCAGCAAAATTGTTATGTTCTGAGAACCCTAGGAGTTCTCACTCTGGTCCATTCACTTTGCGGGGGCGTTCTTCCCCTTCATTCATTGGTTGGTTCTCCCCAGCAGCCAGCTATAAAAGCAGGCTGCGGGGTCCAACCAGTTGCTGATCACTGCGAGCCAGTTCCCGGCTTGGCAAGCACGGTCAGCCCTTTATTGTTATAATAAAGTATTGTTGCACTCATGCTCTGGTTCAGCCTCTCTTTTCTCAAACTTAACACTGGCGACGAGGATGGGATGGCTACCAGAAGCACCATGCAACCGCTGAGTCACTAGCCGCCAATCCGCAGCCAGAGAGAGAGCGATCGGCCGGCGATAAGAGCAACGCTGATCCGCAGCCAGATAGAGCGGTCAGCAAGCAAAAAGAGCGAACGCTGATCCGCTGACAGAGAAAGCGGTCAGCAAGCACTAAGAAGCGAACGCTGATCCGCAGCCAGAGAGAGCGGTCAGAATCGAAAGTTAGAAGTGCCTGTAGCCGCTTGTTAGCCCAGCTACAGGGAAAGTGAAGCGCTGCGAGTCACAGCCGCTCGTTTGTTTAGGCGCGAAATTCAAACGGCTGTCATTTGAATTTCAAACCTAAAAGGTACAGCGCGGTGCTGTAGCCAAGTCATTGACGCCCACACAGGCGCGAATTCAAACGCTGCCAACGGCTGATAGCCAAACCGTGTGCTACCCAGAGAGAGAGAGAGGATTGCGAAAAGCCTCTCCAGAGCTGAAATCACTTGCTTGCCACAGGCACTAGAACCTTTTGCCGCTGCCCCAGAGAGATTTTGTCCACAGGTTGTTCCACCGGCCCCATCACCATGAATTCCAATCCAGTCTTCCCAGCGTTCAAACCAGATGAGGAGAAGTGGGAATCATACAAGAACCGCTTCAACCATTATATCGATGCGATCGGGCTGGCTGATGCTGGGGAGCATCGGAAAAAATCGTATTTCCTGATCTACTGTGGAGCCATCGTTTTCGATACTGCCACAGCCCTCGTGGCTCCACATGAGTTGAAAAACGTTCCTTGGTCTGAACTACTTGAAATCCTCACTAACCACTATTCTCCCAGGCCCTCACAGATTGCCAGGAGATTCACCTTCCGAATGAGGAAGCAATCGGACAAGGAGACCATCAATCAGTACATGGCCGCCCTCAGAACAGCAGCACTGCATTGTGGGTTTGGAACCTACCTGGAGGACATGCTCCTCGATCAACTAGTCTGCGGGGTCAAGGACCTCCACCTTCAGAGGCGCCTTCTCGCTAAAAAGGACCTCAACCTAGCACAAGCCGTCGAGGAGGCCTTGGCAGCAGAACTGGCAGCGCACTCAGCCACCGAAATCCATGGCCCGACTGCAAAGCTAACGACAGTTCCAGTCCACTCCGAGGAGGTGGTAGCAGAGGAAGCCCCTAGTGATGAAAACGACGTCCACCGTCTCTCCAACGCCAGACGACCGCAGGTAGGAGCCAAACAAGAAAACATCGGTCCGCCCAAGCTCATCACCCTGTGCCTAGCCTGTGGTGGATCTCATCTGAGGGCCACCTGCAAGTTCAAGGGAGCCACCTGCAATAACTGCCATAAAAGGGGGCACATCGCGAGAATCTGCCAAGCCCCTCAAAACTCAGCACAAAGGCACCCCCCCTTCTCACACTCTGGACCGCAGAGGCAAGTATTGAACTGTCGCACTCACCACCATGCCAAGCACACTTGCCACACTGTTAGTAAAATCTCTCTCTCCGTTTACTTAGAAGGTAAACCGTGCCGCATGGAGGTTGACACAGGGTCAGCGCTCTCAATTATCTCGTGGAACACCCTCAAGAGGCTCCAGCCCAGCCTATCAACTAGCCGGCTCCAGAAGTGCCAGTTTAGCCTGAAGGACTACCAGGGGAGGACCATTCCTGTAATCGGCAGAGGCAAGTTCCTTGTCAATTTTAAAGCTTTTAAAGGTCACCTACCTCTAGTGGTAGTTAACGGCAATCTCCCTACTTTATTGGGGCTCGATTGGTTTCCCCATCTCGGCCTAGGGCTAACAGGAGTCCATGCTGTCTCAACCTCTGACACTGACTCCTTATTCGCTGATTACTCAGATGTATTCAGCAATGAGCTGGGGTGTTATAACGGTACCCCTATCTCATTCTCAGTCGACCCCCAGGCAGTCCCTATCAGACTAAAACCGCGGAGGGTCCCATTCGCGATTCGGCCAAAACTAGATGCGGAATTGGATAAACTGTTAAAACAAGGGGTCATTGAGCCAACAGATTTCGCCAAATGGGAGACGCCCATTGTCACACCCCTCAAAAAAGACGGTAGCCTGAGAATTTGCTCGGACTACAAGACCACAATCAATAAGTTTCTACAAGTCAGCGCTTACCCAGTGCCCGTCATTCAGCATTTATTACACACTTTTGAACCCGGCAGCATTTTTGCCAAATTGGACATGTCTCAAGCGTATCAACAGTTCCCTGTTGACAACCAAACAGCGGAACTCCAGACCATTGTCACTCACAGGGGTGCTTTCTGATGCAAGCGTCTCCAATTTGGCGTAAGTGTTGCCCCAGGTATTTTTCAATCCCTCATGGAGCGGATTTTGCAGGGCCTCCCTGGTGTAGTACCCTACTTCGACGACATCTTAGTCTCGGCCAGGGACAGACCCCAACTCTTTCAGAGAGTCAGAGCAGTGTTAGAAAGGTTCAGACAGCATGGCCTCAAATTAAAAAAAGAAAAATGCGTCATTGCCACTAGACAGGTGGACTTTCTGGGTTATAAAATTGACGCCTCAGGCATTCACCCCCTGGAGTCCAAGGTTAAGGCAATCCACGAGGCACCCACTCCAACCTCCAAAACTGAACTACAGGCCTTCTTGGGGCTGTTGAACTTTTACGCCTCCTTCTTGCCCCATAAATCATCAGTAGCTGAACCCCTACACAGATTACTGGATAAAAAATCACCTTGGCACTGGGGGCACAAAGAAGACGCTGCTTTTCACGCCGTCAAATCACTGCTCACGTCAGAGGCGGTACTTATTCAATTCGACCCCAACCTTCCATTAGTGCTGGCAGCAGACGCATCTCCCTTTGGAATCGGGGCAGTATTAAGTCACAGGCTTCCCAATGGCGCCGAGGCTCCCATTGCTTTTTTCTCCAGGACGCTCTCTACAACAGAGCGCAATTACAGCCAGATCGATAAGGAAGCTCTAGCAGCTGTTGCAGTAGTGAAAAAATTTCACGAGTTTCTCTTTGGCCATTTTTTCGAGCTGGTCACGGACCACAAGCCCCTCCTGGGTCTACTAGCGGGGGACAAACAGACCCCTCAGGTCCTTTCTCCTAGAATGACGAGATGGACCCTCTTCCTTGCAGCCTACTCCTACAGACTCATACACCGCCCAGGTAAAACATTGTCCCACGCTGACGCTCTCAGCCGCTGTCCCTTGCCGGCTCCAGCTGAAGACCCTGCTCCTATCCACGCTATTTTTGAGGTCACCCAACTGGACCTCCCCATCACTGCCCTTGACATTGCTGCTAAAACCAAGGCAGACAAAACGCTCGCCCAAGTGCTCGACTGGGTGAGGAGGGGGTGGCCGGGTTGTAATGTTGAAAACAAATTCACACCTTTCAAGACCCGCATGCAGGAATTGTCCAGTTTGCAGGGCTGTCTACTGTGGGGCACTCGAGTGGTCATCCCGACCTCACTGCGTACCCGAGTTCTGGAGGCGTTGCACGAGGGACACCCTGGCATCGTTAGAATGAAGGCATTAGCACGCAGCTACGTATGGTGGCCGGGCCTCGACGAGGACGTCGTCAGATGGGTAAGTTCCTGCAACATTTGCCAGGAATCCCGTCCTGCTCCTCCTATTGCCACCCGTACTAAATGGGAGAGCGCCAGCGCTCCGTGGTCCAGAATTCACATCGACCTGGCCGGCCCCTTGCATGGGAAAATGTTCCTAGTAGTCGTGGACTCCTATTCTAAATGGATTGACGTAGCACAGCTATCCACGACCACCACACAAGCAATTACCATTATTAACTCGCCTGTTTGTTACACACGGGCTACCCGACTCCATTGTCTCCGACAATGGCCCACAGTTCGCATCAACCGAGTTCAGCCGTTTTGCCGCTAACCTGGGTATCCGCCACATCTTCACAGCCCCATTTCATCCTGCCAGTAACGGATTGGCTGAAAGGGCCGTCAGGACCACTAAAGAAGCCCTGGTGAGGTTCAGTAAGGATGATTGGCACCACAAACTCGCGCGTTTCCTGATGAGCCAGCACTCAACGCCATGTTCAGTCACCAATAAGTCCCCAGCTGAGCTCCTGATGGGCAGGTGCCTGAGGACTGTATTGGACAGACTGCACCCACAATACTGCCCTGACTCTCCCCTCGCTTCCACATCGGGGGTTAGACATTTTATCTTACAGGAGCCAGTATTCGCGAGGAACTTCGCTGGAGACCCCCTGTGGATCCCGGGCGAGATCGTGGCCATCACCGGACCCAGGTCGTATCGAGTCAGACTGGAGGATGGTCGTGTCTGGAGAAGGCACCTGGACCAGCTGCGTAGGCGTCTCGGCACCCTCGCTAGCAGAGACCCAGAATTACAAAACGAAGGGAGGCCTCAACAGCAACCCCACATCCACATCCTTCCCGGCGACCAGTTGACGCCAGCAGCCATTCCAGAAAGCCCGAACACGGACAGCGGCGCCCAGACGGCTGACCAATCCGATCCAGTCTACGGGAGCACCTCCCCAGTGACCAACCCTACGAGTCCTGGACCTGCCCAAACCGAGGGGCACGTT